TCCTGAAGGCCGTTTCACTCGAGTCCACCGCGTGGGAGGCGCCGTCGGTGAGGACGACCCGGACACCCTGAAGGAGGTTGAGAGGGGGGAGAGGGGGGGGAAAGACGGGGGGGAAGAGGGGTACGAGGGGTTTGAGAGGGGTGAGCGGGGGGAAGGGGGGGAGGGGGAATGTTGAAGCGAATGACCGGACAGGTATAAGGAAAAGCTAAAAAGGAGGAGGAGGGGGCTTGGAGGACCTGGGTTATGCAGTACGGACCAGCTGTACATTGAGAGGTGTCGTGGCTGGCCGGGACATGAGCAGGAGAGGTGGGGAGGTAAGGCGAACTACTGACGATAGAAGCAGGAGCGGAGGGGAGGAGCATAAGTATGTGTGGGGGAAAGATCGGGGAGGGGCACGTCGCACCCTCAACAGCCCAACGAGCCAGCGGAGGACGAGGGAGTGCGCGGCAGCGGAGCCCTGCCCTGCACCTGCCGCCTCACCTCACCTCCCCACCCCTCCACACACACACACACACAACCCCCTCCAACCCCCAACTCACATACACAGGCGCCCCGATGAGCGAGCCGCTGTTGGCTGCCTCCACGAAGCCCTTCTCAATGGCCGAGTGGAACTCGGGCGGTACGGCAGTGCCCACCAGCTTGTTCTCAAACACGAACGGCACGGGGCTGTCCTCGGGCAGGGGCTCAATCCAACCTGAGGGGGGGGGAAATCATTTGCGAGGGACTCAGGATGGAATGTGGGGGGAAGGGGGGGAAGGGGGGGAAGGGGGAAGGGGGGGAAGGGGGAAGGGGGGGAAAGGGGAAGGGGGAAGGGGGGGAAGGGGGAAGGGGGGGAAGGGGGAAGGGGGGGAAGGGGGAAGGAAGCACCGTGTCGACTTACCCACTACCTTTCCGAACTGCCCCGCCCCTCCGCTCTGTCGCTTGTGCAGGTAGTTGAACTCGGCCCGGGCGGTGAGGGCCTCGCGGTAGCTCACCTTGGGCTTGCCCACCTCGCAGGTGACCTGGGAACCGGGGGATGAGGGGGAGGGGTGCGGAGGAGGATGTGGTAGGAAGTGACGGGAGGTGTGGTGAGGGGAGGGGGCCCACATCAGGGCAGCTTAGCGGCGGTACCCCTCCACCTGTTCAGTTCCTTGTCGGGATCACACCACCTCCTCTTGGTTCCCTTCTTGCCCCTCATTTCCCCCTCCTCCATCCCCCCTCCACCCCCTCTCTACCCCCCCTCCACCCCCCTCCATCCCCCCTCAACCCCCGTCGTCCCCCTTACCCGGTATTCCCGCTTGATTCTCTCGATGTACACCTCCAAATGCAGCTCCCCCATACCGCTCACAATGATTTCCCCGGTGTTGCTGTTGGTGGACACCTGGGGGCGCGGGAAAGAGTGTGTTTACGTATGTTTGTATGTATCCATGTACGTGTGCTTACGTATGTATGCATGTATGTGTATGTGCATGGGTGGTGGCCAAATACAATGGCCGCATCGTAGCTCCGAACGGGACTCGAACCGGGATCTGAAGTTGAC